TTATGGAGATATGCCCATGAAGCAAACAATTCTGGAAGGAAGAACAGCTATCTCTGTCAGGTTGGGGCAAGACTCGTGGAAGAGTTGAATAACGTATGCCTTAAAGGATGAAAAAGAGGTTAAGATCAGGTTAAGAAGTGGCAAGATGGACTTTCCAAAAACAGAGAGAGGACAAAAGGAAAAGCAAACAAATAAAAAATCCAGCTGGAAAAAGATGAAGGGGGAACTTAAGAGGAAATGCTGTATGAAGCTGGTTAGGGTGGATGGGATGTGTGACAGGTGATAAGCTGCACATGTCGGTGGAGGCCAGGTTGTCAAGAGCATTAAAGGCCATAGTAAAGAGTTTGAACTTCACCTTGTAGATAGCCAGGAATCACTAGAAGTTTGTAAGCAGGGAAACAGCAGGAATCAAGGGAAGCAACTTGAAGAATACTGTGGGGTCAAGTCGCCCAGTTATTATGAATGAGGGCAGTGGGTTTGAGGATGGAGAAAAGACTGGAGATTCACTGAGCAGAGACGGGATTCGGGGAAAGGGAGGCAGAGTTTGCTACACTGAAGATAAATCAAAGATAAGAGTAAGTCATTTGCCATTTGGGGAGATTTTTAAGAGGCAAGTGAGGACCCTTCCAAAGAGAATAGTTTTTAGCTTTTACCACTGAAAGTTCTATTCAAAATTGTTTACTGAATTTTTTTTTTAATGGACTTGGTAACTCTCCCAAAACATACCGTCTAAAATCTATTATTACCTTAGGGTTCATATAAAACTTTCACAAAAATTTTCTTGCCTTTGCCCCTGCCTGGACTTTGCAGTTTTCTCATATTCCTCACATGGGAAAAATTTTATAGTTCTGTTTTTTCCTTCTGCGTCACCTAAATGGACTAATATTCTTAGCATTTGTCCGGGGAAATCTTTAGAAAAACATTATACGGGATTTTGGATTTAATCACTCTTTCTCAAAAGGATTGTCATTGAACCTAATATTTCCAGCTGCTGTTATTTACCATATATATAAGCACCTTACCAATTTTTTCCAGCTGCTGTTATTTACAATATATATAAGCACCTTACCTCATAGTTCGTACTTTACCCAGTAATTCCACTATCATTAACAATCTGTATCAGTTAGGATTAGAGGTGTCTATGTGCTGTGCAGACTGAAATAACAAGGACTCATTCTCTCACAGAAAAGGCAGATATAGCTAACTGACTGCTGGACTAATGCCCTGCTCCACACAGCCCTCAGGGACCCTACTCTTTCTAGCTCTCCTTGCCTGCGCTCCCATGGGAATAGTCCTTGTTTTCATGGTTTGAGATGATTCAGCCACCACTTCCCCATCCAAACAGCAATGAAGCCCAGGGTTGCGCACCCATAAGCTGTCTTTATGGAAGGATTCCTCAAGCTTCTAAAGTCACATCTGCCTACGTCCCATTGGCTAGTACTTAGGTCAAAGCCACACCTATATATAGAGTATGTGGGGAAACATAGCTAAATCATCTGTTACTTTGGGAACAGGTGAGAATGGATGTTAGGAAAAATTCAGCTTTAAAGGGAAAAAGGAGGAAACATTACATTTTGGACAGATAACCACAGAGAGCCAGAAAATCTTTGTTTATATGCAGTTTCAACTGGGTTACTTCTCTGAACCTGTTGCTCTTCTAAAAATTAGGATAATTTTTTTCTTAAAGTCTTTATAGTATTTGTGGTTATCAGGATCAAATACAATAATGAATTTGTCAGCACTTTTAAAATTAAGTATATAAAAATATCAAGTTTTTTTTTTTAAAGTAATAAGCAAGCTGCTGAATATGACTCCATAAATATTACTGAGACAGTATGTCAGTTTTCTGCCTCAGGCCTTCGGTACCCTTATTTGACAGACAGAAGAATCCGACATTAACTAATGTAAAGAGAATATATCTCTGTTTATGAAACACTTTCAAGAACATGATAATGAATTTGATTCTTCTTTTAACTCTGTGCAGTGGGTAGGAGTTAGCACTCTTGTTTTACAGATAGGAAAACTAAGACAGGGAGGGTAACTGAGTGGCTCAAAGTCACTGGGTTTAGAAACTACATTGTCTGCAAGTCTTTCACCTGTTCCTTTAATTTGTCTTGCTGTTCTAATCTTATATGCCACCCTTCTTGTTGACCATTTGGTAAAATCTAGAATCTCTAAGATTAGAGTGACAGACTGTCATTTATCCCACTTTAAGCACATGGTGCCCTTCCCCATTTCCCCCCAATATGACTCAGGTCCTCCAATGTGCCTGTCCCTTCCTGCATACAGACTTTACCCTGCAGAACCACCTAACTTCCTGCCTCATTGAAATGTCCTTCTGTTCTTGGCTTACTCAAATTCTGTCCATTCTTGAAGTGTCAGCCTGGTTCCCACTTTCTTTGTGGGGCATTTCCCAAATGTTTCAGGCCACACAGATCTCCCACTTTCCTGCACTTCTGTAACATGGAGAATATAGCATAGAAAATGCATATATTACATTTAATTATAGAAGCGAATCAGACACTGTTTCAGATTATTCTATCCGTCTTAGTTTTCTCTGCCCAACTAGACTTTAAAGTCTTGTACTTCTCTGGTTATTTTAGTAGCACAAGGACAGTGCTGAGAATGTCAGAAGAACTAAAACAGTTCAGATTCAAACAGAGCCAGCAATTAATTCTTAAGCATCTACTAAGATTCAGTTTGAAGGTTTATGACAAATGAAGAAATGACTTTCAGAAAGGCAAAGAGACTGGTCCAATGTCAAACAGCTTGGAATAGAATCCAGCTCTACGAAACTGTGGTCTAAGGTTTGACCTACTGCAACAGCAATCAGTTGAACATTTGACTGAAAGCTTTGTTTTGTTTAAGTTGAGGGGTGTGTGTGTGTGTGTGTGTGTAGCTTACTATCCTAGGTTGAGAAGACCAAAACCCATTGCCGTCGAGTTGATTCCGACTCATAGCAACCCTATAGGACAGAGTAGAACTGTCCCCATAGGGTCTCTAAGGAGCAGCTGGTGGGTTCGCACTACCAACCTCTTGGTTAGCAGCTGAGTTCTAACTGCGCCACCAAGACTCCAAAGTTGAGAAAAGCCCAGAAAAATAGAGGCATTCCTGATTGATGGTAGCCTTGACGTTAATTTACGTATATCTTACATGCAAAACTGAGAACATGACCAGAACTGACAGACATTTTGTCAGCAGAGAAGGCGGACAAGAACGTGTAACTAAGTCAGGATATTAAAGTGAACTGCAGGGATATTTAGTGATGCATGCAGTCATGAGATATTTAGTTCATGTCTACGTTGCCGTCTATAGAACCTAACTATACAATTGCTTTTTCCTTGTATGTAATGTAAATTCTTTCAGGGTAGGGGCTTATTTTATGCTTATGCTCATTTTGTAAACCTAACAATAACTGGAATCGCTCCAGGAATATGTAATTCATAGAAATCCATCGTTGGAAGACAAGTAGAAGATTATCTTAGTTATCTACTTTTCAGTGCAAAAATTCTTTCTCCAAGTGGACATCTAGATTGTTGAATATTTTCAGTGATGGTTAACCCAAATATTTAAAAGTACAAGCTTGTCCCCTTTTCATCTTAGGATGTTGAATTAAATTTCCCAAGTTACATTTTAAAGGTTTTTCATATCTATATACATATATATACACACACGCATATATATACACACATATATATATACACACATATACATATATATAATAAGGTGCCCTGGTGGTGCAGCAGTTAAAGCACTTGGCTGCTAACCAAAAGGTCAGAGATTTGAACCCACGAGCTACTCTGCTGGAGAAAGATGTAGCAGTCTGCTTCTGTAAAGATTTACAGCTTTGGAAACCCTATGGGGGGCAGTTTTATTCTGTCCTATAGGGTCGCTATGAGTCAAAATCGACTCAATGGTGGTGAGTTTTGTTTTTTGGTTTTTATGTATAATACCCGTTATAGTTTATCTGTCAGTCATCTATTTGTCTATATACATTTACATGTAAAAAAGTGAAATATCATGAGAAAATTTCTCCTGCCACCAGTGTTGCTAACAGCACGTTAGTGATTTTGCGTTGATTTTCTGTGCTCAAGACAATGCTCAGAGCGACATGGACAGGACTGAACAGGAGGTCTGGCGCGTGTTATAGAGATCATGTTTTATTACTATTTTATTATTTTATTTTATTATTACAACTGCAGATATGTTCTCTACATTGAGAATTTTGGGAACAAATTCTTTGTTTGTTAGAAAAAAGTATTTTATAATGCACTATATTAAAAAAAAATATATAAAAAAAAATTTTTTAGTGGAGTAGGGATACTGGAATCTCAGATCCAGGTGGGGGCCTTAAAAAAAATGAAACCAAACCCTTTGCCATCTAGTCAATTCCAACTCGTAGCAACCCTCTAGGACAGAGTAGAACTGCCCCATTGGGTTTCCAAGGAGCAGCTGGTGAATTCGAACAGCTGACCTTTTGGTTAGCAGCTAAGGTCTTAACCCCTAGGCCACCGTCTAACCCCTTTGTCACAGATTGTAAAACAGGAGCTGAGAGTTTGTGAGAAGTCACGTAGGTACTTAATGGTGTACAGAGACAAGAAGCTAGTTCTCACTGTAGGCCTCTCTCTCTCTCTCTCTCCCCACCCGTTTATATTTGTTGTTGTTGTTGTTAGGTGCCGTTGAGTTGTTTCCGACTCATAGTGACACTGTGCACCAAAGAATGAAAGCCTGCCCGGTCCTGTGCCATGCACAATCGTTGTTACGCTGGAGTCCATTGTTGCAGCCGCTGTGTCAATCCATCTCATTTAGGGTCTTCCTCTTTTTCGCTGATCCTGTACTTTACCAAGCATGATGTCTTTCTCCAGGGACTGGTCCCTCCTGACAACATGTCCGATTTACATTGTTAGGTTTTAATTCTAAACGAGTCAATTTAAGAAGCAAGATTATTCGTTCCAAAGGTCACTGATCCTTTCCTCTCTGTTTTCTTTTCTCTCTTCAAGCTCTCTTCAATCTAATTCCTGTGGGCCTGCGTGTGGTGGCCATCCAAGGCGTGAAGGCCAGCCTCTATGTGGCCATGAATGGTGAAGGCTATCTCTACAGCTCAGTAAGTACCTTGTGATGGGTGTGTGTGCAAGCGCGTGTTTGCTTGTGACCTGGCATTGAAAGGTAATCGAGTAACCGTTACTTAAGGGAAGAAAATTAGAAGTTGAAGTCATTTTGTATTTTCTGACCTAATCAGACTTGCTCTTAAAATTTATTCCCCAGTGTTTCAGGATTATTATGAAGGTCTTACAATTTGGAATATTAAAGTCCGTGTCTTGTTGCATGAGAAAGAGCCAGTTACTCTTCACGTGATATAAATTCTCTTTGTCTAGCTTCGACTTCTGGAAGGTAATCTGTCTCCTGAATTTTATATTTTGGTTTAATTCGAGAAGTGAGGCATTTTCTCTTTTTTCCCTTTACCTCTCCTTCAAGCACAGAGGATGGTTTGCAAGAGAAATTCTTTAAATTGTCTAAGAGTCTTCTCTGTTGCATTGTGGAGAAAGAACTTTCAGAAGTGATTTTGTTTTTGTCTGCATTTAATAAATATGTGTAGTAATATGTCAGATTCCAAGGTCACTTCCAAGGCATGTGGATTTATAGAATGAGATATAGATTTGGCGCTGGAATATTTGGCTTTTTATTTGCATTTTAATTACTATTTAGATGTCCCTTTGGGCAAATCACCTCTCTTTGCTTAATTTCTGCACCTTTCAAATGAGGGGGCTGGAGTCCATGTTGTCCAACACCTCTTTCAAATCTAAATTGAGAAAATTAGGTAGCAATCAGATGCTACTTTATCATCATTTCTGCTGAAAATAATACAGGTAAATAAATTTTTGGTCAAAACAATAGGCTTTCATTCTACATGCGTCATAGTCCTAACAGTTCTTAATGTTCAGTTACAGACTTCATTTTTTTAAAAGTAAAAATTAAAATAAGAAAAAGAAAGATAAAAGTTTGTTGCTTTGAATAATTGCTGTTAAAC